AGGCTAAGTGATCGGTCTTCGGAGTTATGCCGTAATCTTTGGTCATAGAACGGAAATGGCGTAAACCGTCCTCGAGAAGTCCCGAATGACCACAAGCAGATAGAGCCCCGATGAATGTAATGCTGTTAGGTTTTACTCCAAAATCTAACATCATATCGTAAATTTCTAAAGCTTCTTTACCATGACCATGGTGGGCGTATCCCATGAGCATTGTGTTCCAAGAAACAGTATTCTTCGAAGGAAAATTATCGAAAATTACGCGGGCATTGGATAATCGTCCACACTTAGCGTACATGTTGATAAGGGCACTGCCAACGACCACATTCGAATCGAACTCGAGCTTAATGATGCAGCAATGGGTCTGTTTACCCCATTCAATAGCCGGTAGATCGCCACAAATGTTCAAAATGCTTGAATACGAGTAAAGATTGAGTTCAAACCCTTTCAATAACATTTCTCGCAGAAGTTTGACGGCTTCTTCATAACATCCCAAGTTCATATGTCCGGAGATCAGTGCATTCCATGTGACGACATCGTGTTCGTTCATCTCTTCGAAAACCTTCAAACCTCCATCAAGAAAACCGGATTTGAAGTAGAAGTCCATAATTGCATTCCCGACGAACGTAAATGAAATGTATCCCAGTTTCAAGATTAATGAATGAAGTTGTTTCCCAATATCGATTTCCTTCACATCAAGAAACGCTCCAAGAACGGTTGCAAATGTTCTTTCGTTTGGTCCATCACCCGAAGCATGCAATTTACGGAAAAGATCAGTGGCTTCCTTACCTTTCCCTTGTTGAACACAACCCCCCATCAGCGCGGTCCAGGCGGTCAAGTGCGGCTTGTCGACCTCCCAGAAGGCTCGTTGAGCCGAGCCCAAATCACCACATTTTGCATACAGATTAACCAATCCCGTCACAACGAACTGGTCCAGTCGGGTTCCACTTTTCACAGCATGGGAATGTACTTGCATACCAAGTCCCGTATTCTCAACGGTAGCACAAGCACCCAATACACTCGCGGAGGCGAATTCATTGACCATCACTCCTGCTTTGTGGGATCTCGAGAAAATCTTCAATCCCTCTAAATTTTCACCACAATGACAAGCACACGAGACGAGTGAAGTCCAAGAAACCTCATTCGGCTCCAAAATCCCGTCAAAAACAGATATTGCATTGCTCAGCATCCCACATTTCCCATAGAAATTAACCAAAGAGTTCTCTACGAAGCTATTTACCTTCTCCTCGAACCTTATGATTCTTGCATGAATTTCTTTACCGATTCTTAAAACCCCTAAACTCGCAGATGCAGATAAAGCGCTGACGTAAGTGTAGTGATTCGGAACAAAACCATCAATCACCATTGATCGAAAACAATCCAAAGCCTCAACCGCCATACCCATCTGAGAATATGATGAAATCAAGGTGGTCCATGAGATAAGGTTTCTTCGAGGCATTTTATCAAACACCTGGCGGGCATCCTTTATACGGTTTGTCTTGCAATACATACTGATCAAATGATTGTACGTATAAACATCCGGTAAAATCCCAGATTTGATAAGCATGGCATGAACTGCTCTGCCTCTGGGAGCTGAGCCTGGGTTGGTAAAAGATCGTATTAGATGAGTAAAATTCATCAGAAGATGGTGGTGTACAGTTGCAGAGGATGTTTTCCGGTGGGGGACGACAGTGTTGCATTGATGATAGTCGTCCGTTCACGCTACTCTCTTATGCAAATCTCCATTTTCTGAGTCTTGCGCAAAACCTTGAACAGGCATACATTCAGCATCGAACTCATCTATTTGAGGTACGAATCAGTCTTCTAAGCTTCAATTGATTGTATATTAACATTAGTTGGCTCTGATGAATCAACGATTGCTTTTCTATTTGTTAAAAATTTATCCACAGTTGTTAAATAACCGAAACAATCTGCAAACACCAGCAAAGCAATTGTCAATTATCCTACAATGTTAGGTAAAGTGTCAATTATCCGACAAATCAAAGTGAAAACGAAGATCCATACCTTGTTAACGACGGTAGTCCGATGGTGAGTTTCATACTCGATTCGACACCCATTAATTGCTCTAGAATGTTGAGAATCCTTAGAATTACTTTAGGAATTATGAATTCAATGCAAATCAGTTCAAATCGTATGCTGTAATGGCTGCAGTCGCCAAGGGATATATTCCGGGTGGAAGGGACGACAACCAAATCCAGATCCGATCCTATTGGATTTGGGTTGCGAGTGGGCCGGATTAAAATGGACAAGTAGGCAATGGATTCTTTTAATGGGTCGACCCATTTGGTTGGGCCGAGATTATATATTGCGATTTTTATCCACATACCACAATTATAGTTATAGTCATGGAGGTTTATCTGTAATAATTCAAAATCATTCGTTGTCATCTAAGAATTAATCAGTATATATAAATTAGTCAAATAAAAGATATAATATCCATACTATATTATGAAGCATTTGATAAAAACTCTTAAAAACCATTTTTTATGTATGAAGTAGGGATGGTGATTTGCCCCGACCCGATGGGGAACCCAGTTCACCCGACTCGAACGAGGATGGGGATTTCCCGCTGAAACGGGTCCTGAGGTCGGGGATCCCCAGTAGACTCAAACCAGGGTCGAGGGATGTTACTTAAATCATGGTTGGGGCCGGGATCTCAGGTAGAATCAAACTAACATAATATATTGTTCATGGGGTTTGACCAGGTTTTGACCGAGGATTGATAGAGGTGTGACCGGGGACGGGATGTTAATCCCATGTCAGTCGGGAACCGGGGCCGGGGATTACAAAACCCGCCTTGTCCTTGCCACGTTGCCATGCCTAGCATGAAGTGCTGTTTATTGATGTATATTACTTAAAATTCAGGATTACAGGTAAATTGTGTATAAGTACAACATATTAAACCTCCATTTTTTAATTTGTATAATTAATTGTAGATAAACATAATCATATACAGGACAAACATCACATTCCAAATATAAAAAATCTAAAATACAATTAGAATAATGGTTGAAATTTAATAAAATACTTAATTATTATCTTTATAAAAAATTATATCATTGGACCAAAAATAAATTAATTCATTATTAACTTAAATTAAATTATAATAAAAGAAATGAATTTAAATAGTTAATTTGATACTAATAATGATATTCTTTTTGAAATTTTAATTACAATATCTTTAAATTTATATTTTATTCAAAATTAAAAACATTATCATTTTCTCAAAACCATATAAAACTGTATTATATCCATTGACGAAAAATAAAAGAAAACAATAAAATCGAGATGTATCTCATTGCATTGTACGAGTATTCTTCTAGTCAGGGCCGACCCTGATAATTTTGGATGCCCACGACGGAAAGTCAAAAAAATGTCCCTTATAGTGGAAAAAAATTTAATCACAAGTATATATGAGGATATTTTTAACTTTAAAACAACATGAATAATGGGTATTCATTTTTAAATAAGGCTTGAAACATAAATAGTTAAGAATAAGAATATGAGAAAGAGACTTTAAGAAATGAACCTCATGCATGGAATTGTCTTTAGTTGTAGAGTTTCGACCAAGTGCAAGTGCAAGTGATTCAGGCATCACATATATCCCAATAGCATCAAGGTGTGTGCTAACACGTCCATGAAATCCACCCCATGGTCCATGACTCGTGCATCCTTCATAATTGGTTTTATCTCCCTACAAACCATCCAAAAGAATAAGAACACATAAATCGGTACCATCGTATATATTCTTCAAGTAAAACACAACAAAAGATATAACTAAAACCTTACCATGAGACTAYTGAGATAGACAAAGGATCGAGMAATGCATAGTAAAATAGACATCAACTGATTCGGGTATGCATCAAATTAAGTGTATAACAACAAACCCATAAAGAACGAAAGACATTCTACATAAGAACAATAGAAACACAATAAAATCATATCACTCATCCAATTTTAACATTTGATCGCACCCCTATCTCCAAAAACAGTCAAATGGGGCTTCTACAAATTCATGATGGTAATTCAGACTCATATGTCAAGTGATTTTCTGATGTAAAAACCTCTTCTGTTAAGCTCAGTATCTTAACCCTTGCCAAGTCGAAAACTATGACAGATGTTTAACACTTTTTCATATAATTCATGTAGTTATGGGATTCAATTTCCCTCACAACCAAAATGCTTGTTGAAAAGTGATTCATGTTCAGCAATACATCTCTCCAACCCTTTTAACAATTAGAGTTGGCCTCCTAAAAGTAAGCATATCTCGAGACACAAACTTCACGTATCAATGGACCAATTTCACAGCTAAAAACGAATAGAACATGTGAAACAGTCAAACAAAGTGAAACAGTCAAACACAGTAAGTCAGTAACAATTGAATAGTGATATAGTGATACCGATACAGTAAGTCAGTAACAAGAATTAGAAACACAAATCACAAACCACAAAGGACCAAATTCACAGCTTCATTATTAGGTTTTGCAATCAAATTAGAAACTTAAAAAATAAAATAAGTAAAGTAAATAAGTAATAACCCTAAGTCCCTAACCTCACAAGTCACAACTCACAAGAGAGAGGCAGACGGGCGACGACAGTGAGCAGGCGATAGTCGAGAGAGGCAGCCGCAGACGGCAGTCGATAGTCGAGAGAGGCAGAGAGCGAGAGCCGATTGCGTCAACTGTCAAGGCCGATTGCGATTGCGATTCGTGAACTAAATCGGATTTCTGTTGTGAGTTCTGTGAGAGCGAGAGGCGGGAGCCGTGAGGGAGGTAGATGGAGGAATGGAAACGGTAATATTCATAGGCCCAATTGAAAACTGAACACATATATATATACATTTGATGCCCCTTGGGTTTATGGGCCGGCCCTGCAGTTCTACTATTAATTAAATAATAATATTATTATAAAAATATTATTATTTGTTAGCCTTGAGAAGAAGCCGCCTTGCGGTTCCTTGAGATTGGTTGGTGCCTTAAGACGAAAGATAGATAAGTGGCATGTTGAATGGTTCTTTCCCTTTGATCCCAAATGACACCATTACTTTGAAATCCCCATCAAATCAAACCCGCGAACAAAACAGGATTCACGATCACAAACCTCCGTTGACCCATTTTTTTCCCCCAAAATTTGAAGGTATATCGATCAATCCAACAAAATTCAAGTAAGTATTGCGTTAATACTGTTTGATCTATTCACGACTAGGGTTTTCTCGATCCTCAATTGGATCAACTCATTGATTTCTCTAGGGTTCAAACTTGTTAACTCTTGATACGATCTGATTCCTATTCTACAGAATTGAGTTTTTTTTCTTGTTCTTCTTGATTTTGTGCATTAAATTACTAGGTTTTCTTGATTGTGGTTTGGATTTTTTTTTTATATATGTATTTGGCTATTTATTTGTAAATAGAAGATGTATAGCAATTTTAAGGAACAAGCAATTGTGTATGTAAAGCAAGCAGTTGAAGAAGATACAGCTGGTAATTATGCAAAAGCTTTTTCACTGTATATGAATGCATTAGAATACTTCAAGACTCATTTGAAGTATGAAAAGAATCCAAAGCTTAAGGAAGCAATTACCCAGAAGTTTACTGATTATTTGAGGAGGGCTGAGGAGATTAGGGCTGTTCTTGAGGATGGTGGAGGGAATAAACCTTCATCTAATGGAGGAGATACTGGGGTTGCCACAAGGCCTAAATCGAATAAAAAGAATGGAGATGGAGGAGATGGTGATGATTCTGAGCAGACCAAACTCAGATCAGGCCTTAATTCTGCAATTATCAGAGAGAAACCGAACGTTAAGTGGAATGATGTGGCGGGTCTTCAGAGTGCAAAGCAAGCTTTGCAGGAAGCTGTAATCCTACCGGTGAAGTTTCCACAGTTTTTTGTTGGTTAGTTTACTCACTTTTGTTTTTCTATCGTGCCATTTGATATATGAGGTCGATAATGCTTGATTATATACGGTGACTACTGAAGCTGTACAGTCATGCCAATGGAGTCTGGGAATAGAATACCTTTGATGCAATTATGTTTACTAATTACTGTTGTTTTTGTTGCATTGCTTCTAGCTTTCAGCTTTTATCTTGTGTTGATGGTGAGTAATATAGAACAGGGAAATTGACCAAATTAGCCATTTTGGTCTAACATCATCACTTTTTAGCCACCTTTTTTTCAGTTTGACCAAAAATAGCCAAGATTTCACAAGTGCCCATTTTGCAACTTGCGAAATGCCGAAATGTACTTTCTTTCTGAATTAAATATGATTCTGGTCGGGTTGGCTTGCGAAATGACACACGAGAAATCATATTTTATTCATAAAAAGTACATTTCTGGAAGTTGCGAAAGAGGCACTTGTAAAATCTTGGCTATTTTGGTTCAAACATGAAAAAGTTGGTTAAAAAGTGAAGATGCTTGTCTAAAATGGCTAATTTGGTCAAGTTCCCTATAAAACACATAGTTTACTGCCAGCAAAGCCAATTCTAGTGAAAAAAATCATGATCTTGATTGCTCACATTTGCTAGCATTAATGCCACGGGCATATCTGTTGCACAAGGTGTTCTATGAACAAATAGATACACGATTCTCTTGTGAAGATTACACAAATTTATATGGATGTCCCATGAAACTGCGGTGTTTCTTCTTTTCTTTGGGCAAAGGTAGACATGAAAGTTCCTTTTTTGGCATAATAAGATGCTGATGTGGTTGTTTTTTGTTCCATAAGATTTTTCTTATCTTGTCATTCACTCGTTTGTTGGAGTCCCACATCGGCTAGATTTAGATTTATTCTCCTCAATATATGTTGGAACCTTCTTTATCTTCTCATGGTCTCTTTTGGAGGGTATCTGATGGGGTTCTACACATCTCACACGGTATATCTGAAAGGGACTTGACACTCTATACCCATATAGCATTCTTTGGAGGGGAATCAAGGCATGTTGGAGTCCCAGACCGACAAGAATTGGACCTGTTTTTCTTAATATATGTTGTAACCTCCAATTTTTCCTCAATGGCTCTTTTGGAGAGTAATCTGATGGGGTTCCATGTACCTCACATTGTTGTTGAAGGGTATTTTAGATAGTAGATAATAATTGAACATTTTTCATAACTTCATATGCAATGAAGGCTGCAATTTTCATGAGGCAAAGGAATAGTTTTATGTTGCATTTGTGTGAGCATATGTCCTCACTATAAGATATGGATGTTGTTGCTTTTGTTCACAAGATTCCTTATTTCGTCATTATTAAAGGCTCGTTTAAACATTAGACTAAAAGTCAAACATTTTCCGTAAATGATGTGACTGGTCAAACTTCACCATTTTAATGGGACCGGGGGAGCAACTTGTTACGTCATCTGTGGTACATTTGTGTCAACATTCCTTCTCTTAGGTCCAACACATTTGTTATTGTCATTGTTATAAAATGTTGATGCTTTTGCTTTAGTTCCACAAGAATCCTCCACTTAATTCATTATGGAAGGTTGTTTAAGACCGTAGATTAATGATCAAGCATTTTATGGAAACAATTAACCAAACCAAACTGGCCCAGTAAATCCCACTCGGAAGTAGGGTTTGGCAGGGGAGATGTACGCATAAATGACCTTTACTCCAAAAGAGTAGAATAACCGTTTCCATGGATGGATGGAGTAACTTGTAGTAGGTTCATCTATGCGAAAATGCCTTCTTTTTAACTTGAACCTATTAAATCTTTTGGCACAATATGGAGCCACCTTCGGAGTATTTGGAAGGAAAGGTCCATTGGTTGTTTGTGCACCATTTGAAGGAAATATGTTGGGTTTTTTTAGCAAGTTTGCATTCTTGAAAACATCCGCTCTAATATTTAGGTAGAGCTGAGGTATGCGTACATTCCACCCCCCAGACCCCACTTCTGGATGGATATACTGGATTTGTTTTGTTTGATTTGGTTTATGTTGGTTTTTGAACTCTTCCAATTCCATTATGATATCAAGCATGAGTTGATTTCGTTCTTGAAACTCACACTTGATTTCTTGATCGTTTGCTTCGTAAAAAGGGAAGAGACGGCCATGGAGAGCTTTTCTATTATATGGACCACCCGGGACCGGAAAATCTTACTTGGCAAAAGCTGTGGCAACGGAAGCCGACTCAACTTTCTTCAGGTACAATTGTCAATTAAGGTTCAAATTTGGATGATTTTTTCCATCCAACATCAAAACTAGATATTCACTTTGAAGTATTTAGAACCTTTTAGTTATAAACAATTTTTGTTTGACTGTATATGCTATCAAAATACGTTCATGTGGAAGTATTCATAGGAGTGTATTGATGATCATCAGATTTTTTGTTTATGCAGCATTTCTTCTTCAGATTTGGTTTCAAAGTGGATGGGAGAAAGTGAAAAGTTGGTCTCGAATCTATTCCAAATGGCTCGAGAGAGTGCCCCTTCCATTATTTTCATTGATGAAATAGACTCGTTGGTTGGCCAACGTGGCGAAGGCAACGAAAGTGAAGCATCTCGTCGTATTAAAACGGAGCTTCTTGTCCAGATGCAGGTATTTTCCGCTTTGTTAAAGCAGTGAAATTCTATCTGGTCGATGTATTATCTTGTGGTATAGGCACCACAAATAAATTTGTTTTATAGAATGCCTAGAATGTCTAAGCTTCCTAATATAATAGTTTATAGAACTTCAGTTTATAAGACCAAACTATAAAGCGTCGTATCTAAAAGCGTTACAATAGGTTTATAGGACGTTTTTAAGGCGTTTTAGCAAGTTTTTTGGACAACTTAAAATAAAGTGTCGTATTAGCTATTTTATAGGACACTTTTAGAAATGTCTTATAAACTCATCTTTTTATAGGATGCTTTTGAGAATGTGTCCTATGTTATAGAACACTTCTTCAAATAGTGTTGTATAAATCAGGTCTGCATACTCCCCCCCCCCTTAAAAGACGTACGCTCGAGTGGGATTCTTATGATGAAATGAAATGGATCTCCAAAATTCTTGTTCGTGTTTGTTTCAGGGTGTAGGGAACAATGATGAGAAAGTTCTTGTTCTTGCAGCCACAAACACTCCATATTCGTTAGATCAGGTACTGTTTTTGGACATCAGAATTGCTCGTTTTCCATTGGCGCAACTGACACAAAATGAATTACAGGCTATTAGGCGGAGATTCGACAAGCGGATTTATATTCCTCTACCGGATGTTAAGGCAAGACAACACATGTTTAAGGTAACATTAGAATTTTCCGGAAGCATCAGTTGGATACCAAAAATCAAACCAAACGAACCCAACATATCTTGCACTAGTAGGAAACAACCGCTCTACTCTTTGGAGCAGAGAACACATATGCGTACATCTTATTCCATACCATACTTTTGACCATCTCCGGTATTTTTCATGATGGCTCCTACTAAGACTATCTCCCGGCATCTTTCGACCTTTAAACACTCACTGCAACAAAATCGGTTTTATAGGACGCGATATTATGTCCAGTGTTCTAATATACTACATAATAGGACTTAAAGATTATAGGAACAACAATTGGGTGTTATATATAAATGTGTTACAATAAATTGACAGGATGCGTTTGGGTGCCCTAACAAGTTTCTTAGGGCAGTTTTGAAATAAAACGTGCTATTAGTCTTTTTGTATGACATTACTTGTAGATGTGTCTTATAAAAACTAATGTCCTATAGAAAATAGCTAATAGGGAACTTTTATTTCAAAAAAAGTAATAAAAAACTTGTTAGGATGCTCATATACGTGGTAACTTCCTATTGTAACACCTTTATAGTACATCAAGATTGGTGGCTATTTGGTTTTTCATTAAGTCTTGTATGGATTAATTTGTCTGGGCAGATTAATTTAGTCTGTATAGATTGAGAAGGTTTTTGTTTGGGAGTTCATACATGAAAAGAGCGTGTTTTTTAATTGGGAGGTGCAGATTTGGAGAAAAAAACTTGATCCATAAAATTCCACTAGAAGTTTACTGAATAAGTCACTCTATATCTTTAAGCTACTAACAAACAGTTACGTTGATTGGATAAGCTGTAAGTCTCACTAAGCTGTTAACAAACAGGCCCTCACAATGGTGTGGCCCTATAAAGTTGAATTCCTATAAAGCAGTTTATTGTGACATGTAGATATCTTTTTTTTTGGATTAACCTGGATGTCCAATCCGCTGTGCGAACCGACTAATCTCAGGGCGACCACCTGCTTTGCAGATAGCCCGGAGTCACCGTATTTGAACCCCACAAGGGGATTTTTATTCCTCCTTGGATTTGAACTTGAGACCTATGAAGCCGATTTTGTTGTAGTGACTTCTAAGGAACTCTTAGAATGTAAAATAGGTTTGTTTATATAAGGAACAATAAAAGCATAATATTGTTGTTTTTGTTATTAAGATTATTGTGACCCCGTTTGGTACTAATCTTACGTCAACCATTAAATGGATACAATAGGTACACCTCGGAGATACGCCTCATAATCTAAACGATCGTGACTTTGAACAACTTGCATATAGAACTGAAGGGTTTTCCGGGTCAGATATTGCGGTTTGTGTAAGTGTTGACGGTCCTTGAGATTTGTGTTTCTGACGTGAAACGGCTAAAAATGTATCTTTCTTCTAATCATAGGTAAATGAGGTCTTGTTCGAACCTGTACGTAAAACACAAGATGCTATGTTTTTTATAAAGACATCTGATGACACTTGGGTGCCTTGTGGACCCCGACATCCAGGTGCCATTGAGATCACTATGCAGGATCTAGCAACACAAGGGGAGGCTTCCAAGGTATAAATCTTTATAAACAATATCAGAATAGTGTTCACTGCTCAGAAGTGAACACTGTTCTGGATGAATCTTTGATATGACCAACCTTGTAAATTTTGAAAAACGAAAGTGGGTTTGGGACGTGTTTTGCAGATCATTCCGCCACCGATATCAAGAACGGATTTTGACAAAGTTTTAGCGCGACAGAAACCGACCGTAAGCAAAGGAGATCTTGAATTGCATGACAGATTTACCAAAGAGTTTGGAGAAGAAGGTTGATGATGGATTCTTGAAAGTGTTCATATTTTCATGATTGTGTTTGAATCAAGATTACTTGAAAATGTATATGAGTTACTCCATCAAGATTATTCATTTCAGTTGAATTTCATTTGCAATTAGTTTGGTTTATTATAAATAATTCCGATTCAAATTTGTGTCGATTAATCGTTAGACGATCGATTGTTATTTAGGGCCCGTTTACCCAACGCTTATTCAGTAAGCATTCACCGGTAAAGAGTAATACACTTCCATTTTACTTGTTGGATGAAATTTTAGTCTATCAAAACGACATTGCATGTAGCACTTTTCAACAAGTGTTTACAAGGTAAGTCTTTGTCACTTTCTCTTATCGGGTAAGATTCTCAATCCTTAATTTAATTCGATAAGGTGATATGATTCGGTATACACTTATAGGGTAAGAATGAGGTAAGCAAGTGAACAAATTTGTAGAAGTTTAAAGGGTTCGTTTATTATTATCAAGGTATTAATGAAAGATAATCAAAGTTTATTCATTATAATCAAAACTTTAGAATAGAAAATAATCAAAATATATTTATGAAACCAAATATTTATTAGTGTATAATAATTAGAATATTCATTTAGGATATAAATGAACGTTTGAGATTGTTTTACATTGTTTGAGTTACCAGATTTACAAATAATATATTTGAAACTCTAAAATAAATACATTTAATAATACTACTCGCACAATGCAGCGAGATACATCTTGATTTTAATGTTTCGTTTTTTTTCCTGTCTCAGTCAACGTTATAATACGGTTTTATGTGATTTTGAGAAAGTGTAATTTTTTATATTTAAATAAAATATAAATCTGAAAATATCATTAAAAACGAAAAAATGGTCGATATTAGTATTAAATTAACTATTTAATATTTCTCCATTTTTGTGTATTTAATTTTTTTTTTGTTTAACAATATAATTTTTTATAAAGATAATAATTAAGTATTTTGTTAGAAGTCAATGACTATTCTAATTATATTCTAGATTTTTTATATTTAAAATGTGATGTTTATCCTCTATTTAATTATATTTATCTGCAGTCAGTTACATGAATTCAAACATGAAGTTCTAATAAGCCGTACTTACGTACAATTTACTTTGTAATCTTGAATTTTAAGTAACATGCATCAATAAACAGTACTTCATGCATAGAAAATGATTTTTAAAAGTTTTTATCAAATTCTTTACAATAATACTAGAAAGGTACTCGCACAATACAGTAAGATATATCTCGATTTTAATATTTCATTTTTTTGGTTTCTGTTGATGTTATAATACTGATTTATGTGGTTTTAAATAAACAATAATGTCTTTTTAATAAAACATAAATTTGAATATATCATAAAAAATTTAAAAATATATATATACATAGATTTTTTTTAAATTTCTTTAATTCAAATTTTTTAATTATAATTTAATTTAGGTTTAATAACGAAGTAATTTATTTTTGTTCTAATAATATAATTTTTATAAAGATTATAATCAAGTATTATGTTAGAACTCAATAATTATCATAATTATATTTTAAAATTTATATTTAAAATGAGAATTTATCTTGTATTTGATTATATTTATCTATAATTAGTTATCCAAATTCAAATATAAAACTTGGTTACGTACAATTTACTTGTAATATTGAATTATAAGTAATATATATTAATAAACAGTACTTAATGCATAAAAATGTTAAATTTTAATGAAACAGAAAATAAATAACCAAAAATTCAGAGCAATATTAATTAATCTAAAAATACCGGACCATGGTTTTTCATTTCCAATTTTTTTTACTTCTTTTTACAAAAATAAAAAAGGGAAGATAAAAAGACCCGACCCACCAAAATGAGCCGATAAACCGAAATAGAAACATTAATCAAACCAACACCCCCATAGGACCATCTCCCATACCCTGTACCCCCAATTCTAACCGTAAGATCAAAACAATCAATAATTCAACCAACGGCTCAGATCTTTTCAAATTTTATCGAGCTTCGCAGCCTTGATCACCGGATTCTCCCTCGCAATGGCTTCTTTCCCCATCGTCTTGAAATCAAACGTACACGCGTGCATCTCAGGGTACCGGTGGGTCCCACAGAAGGTGGTTCCACATCTGCACGTGAACCCCGTGAGCCCCACGCGCCGGTTGCAGCACCCGCAACGGTTTCGTTGCTGCGGTTTTGAAACCGCCGGAGACGGAATCACGGTACCGGAATCTAGATCTGTAGCGACGGAAAGAGATAATAACGTACCGGAGGAAGAAGAAGAAGAAGATGTCACCGGTGATGATTGTTGTGGAGGCGATAGGCTTTTCTCGACGGCGATTTTAGCCTCCGACATCTGCTGTTCTTTCAGGCAATGATCTTTGTAGCATTTCGAGCAGAGATTGAGCGTCGTAGGACTTCCAAAGAACCCGCAGTTATTCGCGCAGAGGACGTGATTGCTTGCTTCGTGCCATTCCTGTTCTTCCGCCATTTTCGTTCTTCTTCAATTTCTCGATAGAATATTCTTCAAACAAACAAAAAAAGTATCGTGAGCGATCGATTGAAATCCAAATCCAAATCAATCGCTCAAATACACGAGATTCCGAAACCTGTAGGAAAGAAAACACAGAATCAGAAGATGCGAAACAAAAAGCGATGGAAATTAAAAAGGGGATGAAGGGAAACGTACGGGAAGATGAAATGAGGCAAAGATGGGGAGTGAATTTGAAAACCCGAGATGGGTATGAGAGGACCACACAGAGGAGGTGGGAGAGAAGAAAGGGTTGGAGGAAGAAATATAGAGAAGGAAAGGGAAATGGGGGCCAGGTGTTTGTGAAAATGTCTAAGCTGCTCAAAAATGAAAACGAGAATAAACGGCAGGAATAAAAGGATCCCACGGGATGGAATGGGTTTCTACAACAAAACAAATCATATTTCAAATAATTATATATATAATCGGGTTTAAATGATAACGACACGTATATAAAGAGCATAAGTAAACGGTCGAATCACATATGATTTTGTGCATGATATTAATGTAAAATCACATGTGATTCATGCGACTTTGCACCGCGACTTGAAAGCGTGACCATAGGGTCGTCCGTACACTTTTTTGACCGTTAATATAAAATCACATGTGATTTTGCACATGATTTGACCGTTCTCGTATTCTCTTAAATAGTTAGCATTCTCGTTTGATCTTTTATATATACACTATATTATAAAACATTTTTTATGCATGAAATATTGTTTAAAACTTTATATATTAGGTACCAAAATAGAAGTTTTGAGTACGTTACCCAAAATATGAATCAAGTTAAAATACGTTAATTTTTAACATTTATCTCGGTCATTTGGATAAATGAGCTTTCAATTAAAAGCAGAAATTTATAAGAAAAGAAATTAGCTCAATAACCTTCGTGTCACCTAACCCTAGTTCAAAACAATATGCTTCTGATCTAAAACAGTCTCCTCCCATAAAAAACATAGAAATACATTTGACGGTCATTTTGCAAAATGAGCTTCTAGAGAAGGTCATTAAGCTAAAAAGCCGTATACATGGTTAAGATACAAGTGGTGCTTCCAAACTATCTCCATCATCCGGTGGCGATTCCAGTTTCAGTGAGCATGCAAAGCATAAGGAGATCACCTGAAATGGTTGAATAAATCCCGTCAGAGAAAGGTGGTTGGTCGGTGGCAGGTGGTGGTGGTTGTGGGGACGGACCCGGGGGGTGGGGTTTCTGGTGGCATGTGCCACCATTTCATTCCTTGTCGTGGTGTAAAAATTTATAGGGTCGTGAAAAGTGCCACTGTACCAATTTGTTGTGTGTCACCATATATATTTTGAAAATACAACAAGGACACAAGTTTTCCTTGATAGAGTTGCTTTGCAAGATTTTTCTTCCCCGTTGGTATCATTTTCTTAGTTTTTAACTTTTAATTTCAAATTTATTATGGTTTTTGAAATTTTTTTGCAATAAAAGACTTGAACAAAGGATCTAACATATGAAAAGCAATGAAATAACTAGACCAATGATGATTTTGTGAAAAATATCCACTATATATGTTTTTTATAGTCAAATGGTGTCACCACTTGAAAAAAATTTGATCCGTCCCTGGGTGGTTGAGTAGACTTACCATGCATAGAGATGCCACGATGATACTGAAGCCTTTGCAGTCGAAAGGCGCATCGGTGGACAAGAACCACGCTGCAAAACCGAAAGTTGATCACAGGTAAGTTACTAGTCAAAAAATTCCAGAACTAGAACGAAACTTAGGGGCCGTTTACTCAAACGCTTACCCAGTAAGAGTTAACACTTTAACTTACTTTACAGGTTAGATTGTAGTCCATTAAAATGGTATTGTATGCAAAAATTTACCCGGTAAACACTTACTGGGTAAGAGTCGTCACCTTTACTTACCAGGTAAGACTCTTCATCCTCTTACCAGAAAAGATTCTCGGTTTTGCTATGTTACCGGATGAGGTAAATGACCGAATAAGCGTTTAGTAAACGGCCCCTTAATATGAAATTGAGAAAGAGATCAGAGCTCACTAGTCAATGGAGTCACTGCCAATGGTGATAACAAACTAGCAATTGATTGCACACCAGCAATAAAAGTTTGTGCTTTTCCCTAAGATTGAATTACATAAACACTGTTAGAATGGTAGACATGGGCTCTGATACCATATTAAAATATGTGGAACCCCATCAGATTACTCTCCAAAAAAGCACTTGAGGAGAGAAGAGATGTTACAACATATGGGGAAATGGTCCAAGTCTACACTACAACAAAATCGAGTTCATAGGACACTAAAAATGTTTTAAGTTTCATAATAAACTACTTTATACGACTTAAGTTTATAGGACCAAACCTTTGTGTGTGCTATCTAGAAGTGCTGTAATAAGTTCATAAGACACTTTTGGACGTCTTAACATGCTTTTTATTACACTTTTGAAACAAAGTGTCTTATTAGCCATTTTATAGGACACTTTAAAGAAATGTCCTATGACCAAAATCTTTTTTATAAGACACTTTTCAGACAATGTCCAATAAAAGGACTAACAAGACACTTTTTTCAAAAGTGTCCTAAAAAACGACGCCCAAAAACGTCATATGAACTTATTACAACATCTTTAGATTGGAGCCACAAGTGTTTGGTCTTATAAACTTAAGTCATATAAAGTAGTCTATTAGGACACTTGGACATTTTTGGTATTCTATAAATCCAATTTCGTCGTAGTGGTAATTGATATAGGACTCTAACAGCTGGTTTGCGGGTACCATTAGATACAGGCAATGGGACCCACAAAATGGAACCGATAATGGGTAAACAAAGACTTTCGCAAACCTGATCGGTTGATCTTGATCCTTTTGATATAACTGCATAAGTCTGTTAAAAAGAGTAATCAAGTCTAGTTACGTACTTAGATAATCGACAGGCATAAAATCAATTTCCATCGAGCGCATTACTTACCGATGGTTTAACTAGGATAAAGATGACTCCAAACGATGCGCCAAGGTAGGGTACCTGTATACGCTCGAGCTTGCTATCAATTACATTTGTTGCGTAATAGTTTACAGTACGTACTTTTAACTTTAGACTATATAAGAACGTTTTTTTGGAAGTAAATCTTCTGTAATTCTACAAGGATGTCTGCCTCCTTACACGGTAGGCTGCCGAGATTGGTAAAAGATCTTGATATAACTAAGGGGTTGTTTGTTGGTTTTCATTAAGTCCTAAACGAATAAAGCTAACTGTGTGGATTAATCTCTCTTATGGATTGAGAGAGTTTTTCATAGATGGAAGGAGTGGTTTTTAATTGGAAGGGGGAGGCGTGGAAAACCTTGGCTTTCTGCATTAAGCCCCCCTTAGAAGCTTACTGAATAGGCCACTTTCTATATAATTAAGCCATTACCAAACAGTTACATATGCTGACCAAATAAGTTGTAAGTCTCATTAAGCTAATAACAAACAGGACCTAAGTTCAATAATATAAAAACTTGAATTTGAAGATCATTACCCAAGAAGCCCATGCCAAGCCGTAAAACAATGCCTGCAAATAAGAGTGGGTAGAGAAATTAACCCTTTATTATGAGATAGAAAGATTCATTGTTGTCTCTCTTGTTAAGGGTAAAATTGTTATTTAGGTAAATAAAACATGTAATAATTATGCAGTTCTAAAATTGTGTGTCTTTTTCATTGTGGGTATATAAGCGAATTGAAGCAAACGTACATAAGCTATTGATGCTAGTAGGCCTGCACACAATATTACTTTCTCTCCGACCAACGGATTAGCAAGCGGAAGCACCACCAACTAGAAACAAATGATGATCGAACGAAAATTAATGAATACAAAGAAGAAATTTTAAACATTATATAAGCGCAGTGGGAGGTTCAAATAAGAAGGCTAAATATCGTGATAAGGTAAGAAAGGAAAGTTCGTATGTGAATCATTGAAAAAATTCATTTGAAGATACATATGTGAACTTATATGAACAATCTCTAACGTCGGTTCACATATGCATCTTCAAATAGATTTTTTTCAATGATTCACATATGAACCTCTCTTTAATCTTCCGTTCTTACCTTCTTCTTACGATATTTAGTCTTCTTATTTGAACCAACTCCTACAAGGGTGTATATATACACAAGAACGAACCTGGGAAACAATCGAACCTACACCGACCATGCTCAAGATTTCTGAAAGTTGATTTTTGTCGAAACCAAATGCTGCTTTCAGGTAATACTTTCGAGAAGAAAAAAAAAATGAAATGAGTTTGATTATTCAGGACAGTACAAAAACTTATCGTCCCACGATATTAGACTGAGATGGGACAAGACCTGACTGAGTAGGACAAAAATGCTATTTTTTCTGTCGCGACAAAATACGTAGAACAAAAATCAGGAAGATGGGACAAGATTAGTAAATTACTAAATTATCATGTCAAATTAAAACCCTAAAACTTCCTATAATTCTTTCACCCGCTAAGTCATTCTTGTCCCATCCAGTCCTGTCTGTATACCAAACACAGACTTAATACAATTTGGCAAATATAAATATACCAGTAAGACGGTGCTGATTCCCGACATTCCCAGTTCATAGAAGAAAGAAATGACCGAAATACTACTCAGCATCGGACTGAAACGAAAAGCATTCATGTTAGAATAATAGTATAACATATAAAGTCAGGTTCAGGGAAAGTCTGAAAAGAAAATGAAAAAAATGAGGAACACCTTAGTTACCATTCATCACATGTGCATATAAGTTAGTGTAAATTTTTCCAGTATGCACATGTGTATAACATGCACATCTACAAGAGATTAGGAAACATCTTCAACTACTACTTGTATACTCATGTTCATACTGTACAAATAAACGGTTATTAGGGTATTCCTTAGTTTTTCATTTTTTTGGGTTTCCTCTTAACCTCACTCGAGTGTTTCACCATGTTCATTAAATGTCCACGATGAAAAATGTACACAGTTTTTAGACCGAAAAGTAAACAGTATAAAGACAACCGTAGACTGGAAACTAAATGACAATTGTACCCTTAATAACACAGGAAGTAATGAATTTCCCATCTCATAATTAAGAGTAGATTGGAAAGTAGACACTTCTGAAAGTGGGCATTTTGGGACAAATAAAAATAGAAATATGAACTGTTGTTTTGTGACGGATTGAGTATAAAGATTAAAGATCAAGGAGAAAAGAGAAAGAAACGAGACGATGAATCTTGAAATCCACACAAGTTTATGAACGCCGAAGTGACGGACATACGTGCTCAAAACAATCTTAGCGGCATATTTCATCGTTCTATAACGTTTCTGAACAACCGTGAGTGTTTTACTCAAATAAGATGCATGCCGGTCCATCTTTGGAGTAGTCGACTCAACCGTTTCGGCTAGAAAGACTGCCATATAAACCGGACAGAAGATCAAGAGAGCTATTGAAACCTGAATTAGAAGAAATCTAATTCAGAAAAATATAAAAAGAATCGAAAGGATATCACGAATAGCGTGTTATGTTATACTCGAACTCATCGTACTTCAAAGATGTACTTTTCGGGAAGAAAACGAGCTAAGAGATTTCCCAAGACGTGCGATGCCGAAAAGAGACCTGTTATCCAACTAAAAACAGCTGCCCTCTTTCTATTATCAACAATGTCTGCCTGCAAAAATTGGCAAATTATAAGCCTTCCCATGATGTATTACCGTGTAAATATCCTAATAGACTGCTTTATAGAGTTTATAGGATCAATGTGTGCCCTATGCAAATGAAAAGGTGTTACGTAAGTCGATATGAGGCTTTTGGTTGTTATGACAAGTTTTTCAGGACACTTTTAAAATAAAGCGTCTTGTTAGTATTTACTATATGGCATTATTTGAAAAAGTATTTTGTAAAAACAAGTGTCGTATAAGAAGACATGTTCATATGACATTTCTCAAAAGTGTCCTATAAAAAACATAATGGTACACTTAGGGGATGCTCGGTTGGTTTTCCATGAAGTCTTCCATGGATAGAGCTATATGTGTGGATTAATCTGTCTGTATAGATTAGGATTTAGGAAGGTTTCTGTTTGGGAGGGCTTTTTCATAGATGGAAGGAGCATGTTTTTTAATTGAGAAGTGACTGGTTTGGAAAAGACTTCGCTTTCTGCATAAAGCTCCCCGCTAAAAGCTTACTGAATAAGTCATTTTCTATATCATTAAGCCACTACCAAACAGTCACGTATAGCTGAGTCCAATTAAGCTCATTAAGCTGCTAATAGATAGGCCCATAAAAAACTGTTAGGACGTCCAAAAGCGTCCTATCGAGTTACTATTACACCTTTACATATGACGTATTATTGTTATGTCATATAAAAGCAGTCTATTATGATATTTAGACATATCTAGCATCCTATAAAACCGATTATGTCATAGTGTGGACTACTGAGCATCTAAAACTTACACGAGCTCTTTGAACGTATTGATCAAGTAAGTGATACATCAAACTTCGTTTAATTCGTAAGCAAAGTAGAATCGAGTGGAACATATATCTTACCACATAAGCAACGGCAATGCAGAAAATGCTTCCTTGACTAATAATATATGAAATCGTGCGAAGAACATAATAAGCATACACAAATGCTTTTGACTCATTGATGGCGAGCAGGGCTGAACGATAATAAACCAACACGACACTTGTGAGCGAACATGAGGCTTCAAGCTTCCATATATTCAACAAAAAAATGGTTGTAAATTGCATATGATGAAATAAGAAGGCTAAATAGTGTAAAAAGGTAAGAAGGAAAGGTTCATGTGTGAATCATTGAAAAAATCCATTTGAATATGCATATGTGAACCCATATGAATAATCTGTAAAGTCAGTTCACATATGCATTTTCAAATATGAACCTTCCTTTATTACATTCTCACGATATTTAGGCTTCTTATTTGAATCGCCTCCTGATCGTGAAATAACACTTACCGAAGGGAACTATGCTTGTAGATACGGTAACGAGAAGCAACGGTTTACGGCCATACTCATCTGAAAGCTGGCCTAGAATTGGAAGCATGACCATCTTGAATATGCCTACAACCTACAAGTTCACAAGAAGGCATCATAAACCATCGATGAATCCAAAAATAAAATTCATTTAAGAAAAGAAAGTTACGGAACCTGAATTCGAGTTGGTTGTGTTTGATTTAATCTGTTTCTTTTCACTTTCTGGTCGTGTTGTGACGGTGGTTGATGGTGGTGGGCCGTGGGTGTCGGTGGGTTGAAAAACGAAAAGAAAATAACATATAAATATTTTAAGACGAATGTTAAAATAGAAAAAAAGGGTAAATTGGTCATTTTGCTCTCGAGCTTGACATAGATATGGACGGATGTCGGGGTGAGAGACCTAATCCAAGACAAAATGCAAACCTTAAGGGTTTTCTTTGAAACATACAAAGTTGAAGGACCAGTTTTATAACTTCGCACTAGTGGAAATATAATATCGGAAAACAGCAAGAGTGAGATATGGGGTGAAAAGATTGTAATTTAGTAATCTATTAATCTTGTCTTGTATAACTGATTTTTGTTTCATTTATTTCAATGAAACAAATAAATGCACTTCTGTTTAAGAGGTTGTTTGGTAGGTTTCATTAAGTATTGTATGAATAAAATTGTCTGTATGAATTAATCATTCTGTATAGATCGATAAAGTTTTTGTTTGAAAGGGTTTTTCATGATGGAATGTTTTTATTGGGAGGGGCAGGTTTTTTGAAAAATAATGTTCGATCTTCTTAAAATTAAGAGTAAGTTATGATTTTCGTTCTTGTGCATATTGTCATTTTCGTCTTTATGGTTTACAATTTTATTGTCATTTTCATCTTTGGATTAATTCTTATCTTTAAATATAAAGGACTAAAACAGTAAAGAATTATTAACTATAAGGACTGAAACAACAATAAATTATAACTTATAAGAACAAAAATAACAATGAAATATAAATAATAGAGAATAAAACGCAATTTCTATACCATATAAACAAAAATCTTAAATTTAACAAATCATAAGGACGAAATCGTAATTTACTCTAAAATTAATGATATTTTTATTAGGGTAAGTAGCAGGATGGATGGTTTAAGCATTTTTTATGGACAAATTAGCATTAATTAACAGAAGTTGACATCAACTCGATTAAACCATCTAGGAAAAAAAATGATATAATTCGTTTAACGAAAAAGTTTGTAAAAATCCAATAAATTATCTCATTTTAAATGATTAAGTTATTAAATTGTTTTTTTTGAATGAATAAAATAATTAATTTTTTTTTTTATTTTAAATGATTAAGTTTTTAAATATTTTTTTATAATAAATACAGTAGTTTTACTTTTTTGGATTAAAACGATGTAAGCAATCAACTTTTAAGAGTTTTTTAAGAGTTTGATGGTTTATTTTATTGAGAAAAATTATATTTAGGGACTTAATAAAACTTAATGGTTTTTTCGTTAAAAAAAATAGTTCAAAAACTTAATCATAAAAAATGATAAAATTTAATGGTTTTTTAATTAAACAAATATTTATAAATTAATCCTGAGATATTTCCATGGGTGTTTTTTTAACTTTTCCCCTTAGCTAAATGATCATCCCAATCTGTTAAAATTAATAACATGAATAAACCCTTGAAATCAACTGATCATACATGTGATGATAGTGATGCAAAATCCAAAATTGACCATACATATGATGATAATGACGAATTGATGATGATGATGATGATGATGATGATGAAGAAGAAGAACGTACAGTTTGTTGAAGACCATTGAGGTAGATAGCTTGAGAGCAGGTGTTTTGACCTGGACATAGAGCTTCGGTGGTGACATCAACGAGCACAGAAACCGTCATTTCTTCAGCGATCCAGTGAAAACATAGCGGAAATAGCAAGTGTAGCAATGGTCGTAGCTCCCGAACACTCTCCCACCATCTCGCCATTAATTTTATGTGTTGCAGGTAAGGTGTTTGTAGAAATGATTTGTTGAAGGAAGTTAACCAATAACCATTATTTTATTGTGGATTTTGGCATGATTCACGCTTCCGTAACTCGTCGGAATCCTCGCTTCCCCTGCTTTCTTTTATCTTAATTTTAAATATGCTATTTGGATATGAGATTTGGTCCCTTTGGTTTAAAGAAAATTACAACTAGAGTCCTTAAACTTAAAAAATTACAGATTTGGTCCTTGTGATTGTTATTTTTGTAAGACTATAGTCTTCATCTTCGATTGGGCAAATTGCATGAAAAAATTGTGTACTTTAACTTTATTTCTATTTTGGGTGATGTAATTTCAAAACTTCCATTTTCATACATATGGGATGTTTGGGATTGCTTATTTAAAACAACTTATGTTTTTTTGTAAAAGTGCTTATTAACTTATGTGATATCAAATCGAAGTTAAATAAAACAAGGTTAAAATTGTAAACTGGTAATAAACAATTTTTCATAAGTCATGAAGGATTAACTTATCAAAAACAGCTTATTACCGGTTTGGCACCTGTATAAACAGTTTTTTTTTTCTTATCCAAACACCAGAAAACAACTTGTCACCGGTGTCAGACTGAAATAAGTTAAAAAAACAGCTTTTATAAGCAATCCCAAACACCCCCCCTATGATGTAAAGTTTTAAACATTAAAGTACCCGGGTAACCGGTTGAAGTATTAACTCTTTCTTCTAATAAACCAAAATTAATTTTAAATTAAGATATTTATGTCAGCAAATAATACTGAGTTGGATGTCTCCACATCAGCATGGTAACCGATTAATGTTTCAACCGGTTAACCGGATACTTAAATGTTTACAATTTTACATCTTAGGTACCAAAATGGAAGTTTTAGGAATACATTACCCAAAATATGAATCAAGTTAAAGTACGTTATTTTTTCATGCAATTTGTCCTTTTTTTCGTTTCTAACATTTTTATAGGTCATTGATGTATTAAAAAAATCAACATATTTTATTATTATTAAAAATAACATTAAATTATGGAAATGTTAATAATTTATATAAAACCATTTTCCGAATATTCCTTGACCCAAAATTAGCCAATAATTATTTCTAATATAATATTATCTATCATATCATTTATACATAGCATCGTCAATCCGTTCCACTATAAAAAAAAACATCATTTGGGGTCACCATGTTGACTATTTTGAGTAACACTCTATGTAAAAGTTAGTTGTGTTTTCATCTCGCCTCGTGTTAAAGGTTTTTTATCATCATTTTAACTTTTGGGGTTAAAACAAACTTTTTGAAAACCATCAATCTTAGAATAAAAAAAAACACATGTTGGATATGTAACTTGAGATCTGTTCTTGTACTATAGATTGGAAACTTAAGATTCAGGCATTGAATATTAAAGTAATAAGGAGTCAACATAGGGTAATAAGTCAATAATGTATGATAAAATAGGGGTAGTTTTGGAATTATAAATGTATGTTATCGTATGCCCACAACACGTGTCACACAACAATATTGTTAAGGAGTATGTAAACCTATAGGATCGCACACAAAGAATACGTTTGCTTCCATTTGAAAGCAACCCAAAGTCATGATCGACAATTAAATATTATTCTTGAAGAATGATTATAGAATATGTGTTAAAACGTAAGTGTAACAATTCAGGGTATTATCTGTAAATAAACATAATTATTTAAAGTTTTATGTAATTATATAATTATTTACATATAAATATCAAACCTTATTTAAAGTTATAGGGTGACTATGATACCAGCAAATATAAATAGGGTATCAGGCCAATTCAGTTGAGGTGAATTCAATTCCCTAAATTTGGTTAATTAGTCCACATACAAAAACAGAATGCATGCGAATTCAGTTGGCTTGTCTCGTATGGGTTGTGATTGTTTTTTCATATGTAAAAGTTTTCTTAGTTAATAACAAAAAATCTACTATATTTTAATACAAAAACAGAATTCATGCGGATGAAATAATCAAGAAAGAGTCGACGAGAAACAAAAATGAATTTTAAAAATTGTATTAAGCTATATTTGGCAAACTAGCTGATAGCTGATAAATAAATCATGTTTGACAAAAAACTAGTTGATAAGTATGTAAACATTATTAGAATTATTATATTTGTTTTCTGATAATTAAATATATTGAATAATAATTAAAAAAATATAAAAATAATTGATATATTTAATAATAGTTCTAAGTAACTGAAAATTGATATTAATATATAATGTAATTAAAGTTAATTAATAATTTTCAACTAATATTGATCACAATCAATTAATATTAGTAATAATTAATTTATATTTATTGATAATTAATAGTAATAAATAATATTTAATATTATGAAGGTTATAATTGAAAAAAAGTGCAAAAAAACTCCTTATAAGCTGCTTCAATTAGCATTTCAATAAATTAGCTTATGTCATCAACGTGTACTTAAAAAAATAAGCTCACTTATAAGTTAGCTTGTGAATTAGTTTGTTTACCTCTTAATAGTTTCATTAAGAGGCGAGCTTTGAATCCTTAAAATGTGAATTTTGTTTGACAAATAAAAGCTTCTTAATGATTCTAAAACCCTCTAAATGATCTTGTATGATGAGTCTTTCTTAACCATTCAGCACCCTAATACCACTGTAAACAATTACCAAATAATTATATTTCATTTTGCACTATATAATGAGAACCTCTTAATCATTCTGCATTAAATCATTCAGCAACTGCCAAACAACACCTTAATTTAGGGGTCGTTTACCAAACACTTACCCGGTAAATGCTTATCGGTAAAATTCAACACTATTATTTACTTTCCGGATATGACTTTAGTCCACAAAAACGACATCGTATGCAACAATGTACCCCGTAAGCGCTTACCGTGGTAAGAGTCGTCGCCTTCACTTATCGGGTAAGACTCTTGGTCCTTGTCTCATTTTTATCAGGTAAGATTCTTGGTATTTACCATATTCATCTGGTAAGGTAATGTTGCTTGGTAAACACTTACCCGAGTAAACGTTTGGTAAACGGCCCCTTAATCACATAATGATTTTTAATAGTTAATAGGGCTATAATGTAATACCGGAGTAGTATAGGGGGTGTAAGTATAATTTCCATATTTCCTTTTCATAACTAGGCGTAGACGATACGTGCGAAGGCACACACAATCGCAGCTAAAGTAATCCTTCTACGCACTCTTCCATCGTCAAACCCTAACGTTTTCCCCCATCTCCTCCCTTCAATCCATATCCGATCACCGTCTTTCTCTCATGAAATCCTTCAAAACCTTCCTCGACAGGCCTCATTCTTCAATCTCAGATCACATGAGGCCGCCGCCACCAGAATCGTTGATTTGTTGTTGATTTTTTTCCTCCTATACTCAACCCTAAAATCGTTGTCAATCGCTCCTTACAATAGCCTCCACTGCGATGGCGGGTTCAGTAGATGATGTTGGAGGGGGAGTTGAAGCAACTCCGCCGGATTCATGGGAAGTTGCCGACTTGGATGCAACCATGAGCAGGTTAATGCTCTCCTCCAAGAGGGAATGCAACAACTCGTCCCCTAATTTGACTACTACTTCTCCTTCCCTTCTGGAATTCACCTCTGCTTCTTCAGCTCCCGCTAGGTCGTCGTCTGGTGGTATATTGGAGGACATGGTGAATTCTGTTGATCAGTTCCTTCGTGAAGCGTTGCAAAACCCCAGGGAACGTCTTTCAGGTGTGTGCCTTGTGTTGAATTATTTTCAATTTTGTATTCCGTTCACGTTTCATAATGCTTTTTTTTCTTCCAAGAGCCATTATCAATGTCGCTTTTAAGTTATATATATTTCACAGACACATAATTTATATGTTCGCGTGCTGTTTGCTCTTAAATTATCGACTTGAATTTTCTGCGCATATGGCGTTAACGGGCAAGTTTGATGGGAGAGTATACGGAAAGTGAACAATGATGGTTTTCCTATAGTTAATGATGATATCGAGTATTTGAGTTATTAAGGGTAGGTGTTCCATCTATATCTGATAATTGACTTAATAAGCAATAGCGTACAACCGCAAAATCATAGAAAGGCAACAATCAACTATTTGACTGTTTAGCTCGGTAAAAAGAAGTCTAAATTGGGATATCGCCTACCGGAATTTGTTGTGTCAAGCCTAGGTCCACCAGTGATGCTGTATAATATGTTCTCCTCTAGAGCCTTATACCACACCCTGTTCAATGTAAGATGTTTGAACTTTATGAAACTGTCATTTGGGACCTGGGTTGAGGTTACTTTTGGTAAGTGACCATAAATGATTGACGTAGTGTCTACTACCACACATGATTCATTTGTTTGAACTTTATGAAACTGTCATTTGGGACCTGGGTTGAGGTTACTTTTGGTAAGTGACTATAAATGATTGACGTAGTGTCTACTACCACACATGATTCATTTGTTTGCTATTTCTTGTGCTATGTTATATGCCTAAACCTGATGCACTGGTCACTCAGTGATGCCTTCTATCTAACCAGGCAATTGAAGACAGGCAGAGAGCATTTAAATGTTTGATCAGTTAGTGTAGCTTTGCGCATCCTGCCAATGTCAAATTGGCATGATGGCATCATTGAACTTGAATTATAGACATGGGCATATCGTTCCTGCAGTGCTGTCCAATCGTATATCCAAATAAGTATAACAGGCGGTTTGATGCAAATCTTGACAGGAATCTCTAACACAAAAATAAAAAACGAACTTAGCCCCCCTGACAGGGAAAAAGGAAAACGTCATTGATGTACTGCTCATTACAATCACAATTCACACTAGCTCTTCTTGTGGCTTGGGATATTTATCTTGATCAAGTTCAATGCAATCAAATGTTTACTATTGTTGCATCTATGAACACTTTGGATGTTCGATATATGTACATACACCATATCCGGCTATGAGTTGGATAACTGGCAGTAATACGTAGCTGATTTTTATCTTTCTTCGGCTTGTGCAACGCTTTTTCTTTCTAAATTTCATGGCTACTTGATTATAAGTTCTGCCAATCTCTGTTTTTGTTCTAAAATTCTAAATGTATGTGTTTTGGTACATGAATTTGATCTTTCTTTCCCTCCCTATGGGTCTTTGGTTCTTGCCTACTAGAATATTCTCATATCTACAAGGTTTTACAGATTGAAATTCATAGTAGGAGGCTAGGAGCATGCTTGTAAACATGTCTCAAAGTAGTTGCATGCTGATATAATCTTACATGCTTGGAGTTTTCCCCTTGATGATGACAAACAGTTGCTACTAATAATTATTTGGAATTGCTACAAGCCATCATCTTATCCTCCCACCAATATCTTTTTTGTTATGTCATTTGCTAAAACTTTTAATAGGGTAACCTAAAGAATGCTCTGTAATAGGTGTGGGAAGGTACAACAGTATTCATGGGTTTTATTTTGTTTTATGTTGGTCATTGGATAAATATACTTGCTAATTAGGAAAATGGTGATGGTTTATTTGTTTTATTTTAGCTTTTGTTTCTGTATAATTTATAGCACAACAGAGTTGAGTAAATTGAAGTATGTATTTTGGAAATCATGTACAAACAAATTGTTATAAGCTTACAAACATTACTATGCTGATAAAATATGCACACTGTGTGGCCATATTAATGGAACATTTGGCTCTTCAAATTAGTAGAAAATTTAGTATCAGATTCTCTAAAGATGAACAATACCAAGTTCAGAAAGCATCATGATAATGCAGAATTGTCTTTTGTGTTACAGTTGTGAACAAATAATTTTATGTGGGGTGCCAATTTTTTTTGTTTATATAGTTGGATGGAAGTGATGGTATAATGTACAATGTACTTCAAAGGTTGGTACTGCAGGATTATGGGAAAATATTGACTGCAATGAAGTGGTGCAAGGGGTTGTTTCGGTGTAGATGCTTAGCCTGAGAATGGTTTCATAATCTCAGAACAGTAGGTCTTTCTATACGTCCTTGGATAAGTTATTCTAGAGGTCTCTAGTCCTGGATAATGCATGTAAAATTTTGAAAAACCCAAACAAAAATCAGAAAAGGAAAAAGTGATTCATGAATCATGATGGTTTTATTGGTGCATTTCGTACTTCTTGAACCAATAATCTGGGCAATTAATCACGGTGGAGTTGGTGGTATAGCGGTGTTAATGCGGGTTGACATATCGTAGTACTGCTAATAGTGGCTCTATTTGCTGCGATTTCAGTGTTTTGTATATGAAATTGCCGTGTGAAATCCACAACTGTTTTTTGGGCTTTTTAAATGATTTGGATCATTAGGATTTAGGGCTTCGATTGCCAACTCGCCAACTTGTACAACTTTCATCAGACCTTCCCTTTTTCTCTCTAAATGGCAATGAGCACTTTCTTCTCTTCTCTCCAGCCTCTCAGTTGACTTTTCTTCTGCTAAATAGCAGGGACTTCTCGTTGTTTCTAAACAGTGGGACGTTTTTTTTTCTTTCCGTCTCTTGATGGGTGGGAGTGTGAATTTACCTTTTATATTTTCACTAATTAAAAAACTAGATTACAATGTTGTTACTAACAAATAAAAAAATAATATCTTACCAAAGGGCCTTTGGCCTAACGGCATCCGGTAACCCAACCTTCCTATAGGTCAAGTATTCCAACCTCACCAAAGGTGGGGAGTGTATGTGAGTTCCATTTTCAAAAAAGTATCTTCAAATATTAATAACATATATTGAAATATCTGAGTTTTTATTAAACCATTGTGATTTAAAATATTACTATTAGACAGGACGGACGAAATGGCTGTCTACTGGAGCTCAGGTCCAACTCAAATGAGTTTGTGTGTATGCCCCCTGGCCAGAGATAGCCTCAAAGAAAGTTCAATGAAAATGATTGTCACCCTTCGGGCTCCTTATACCAGCGCTGTTCTTTATCATGACTCTTTTGAGGCTTTCCAACCAACTCTGTTTCAGATATTCAACCCCCGGTTGGGTGTTTTTTTGTGGGGGCGGGGGGAGGGGGGAGGGAGGGATTAGTAACTCCACTGGAGTCGAAGGAGCAGAGTTTATAATATCTTTCGGTTTTTAGCAACTCCACTAGTTTATGACATTTTCAAGGGGGAAACTTCATGTAGGCAAAGAAGCAGAGTTTATAATATCTTTCGGTTTTTAGCAACTCCACTAGTTTATGACATTTTCAAGGGGGAAACTTCATGTAGGCAAAGAAGCAGAGTTTATAATATCTTTCGGTTTTTAGTAACTCCGCTGTAGTCATTTTACTATGGACATGCCTTGTTCATATTATAAGTAAACACAAATTCTTATTATGTTCTTTTCAGTGCTACGGATGGAGCAGGATGTGGAGAAGTTCATTAGAGATCCTTCACAACAACAAATGGAGTTCCAACAGCTGCCTACTTCTTATCTACGATTAGCAGCGCATCGTGTGGCTCAGCACTATTCTCTTCAATCTGCGGTCTTACTGGACAATAACCTGCCTGATGGTTCTGGTTCCAGAATTATTGTTCGTAAAACTTCTGAATGCCGTCTTCCTCTGATACGTTTGGCTGATATCCATGTAAATTTACCAACCGATGACTCTAGCAGCAGTATTGTCAAAGTTGCAATCAAACAGAGGCCAAATAAGAGATCACAGATCTTTGGTGGAGCAAATTCAAATTCACTGAGGAGCAATAGCTTGAAAAGCGTCGAGGAAAGAAAAGAAGAATATAATCGGGCACGGGCTAGAATATTCTGCTCTGGTTCTAGCTCTGGTGGGGTGTCTGGTGGGAAGCAAGAGAGCGAGCCGAGGATGCGGGAAGGGTTCCACCATGGCTCATTAGGGGCATCAAGGACAGAAGAAGTTTCTGCTTCAGGAGCGGATGTGAACGGTGGTAGGGGTTCGGTTGACTCCTTAATGGGTACGAGTAGATCGGGTAGAAGTAGGATGGAGGAGCCAATTGGTAGGTCTATGAGTAATAGCAGAGTGGCTATTTTTCGGGACCGTGAAGTTGAAAAGAAGGATCCTGATTATGACAGGAGCTATGACAGGTATACTTCTCCCTCTCTCTCTCTCTCTCTATATATATATATATATATTTTTGCACATCAGAGTATATTGTTGTATTCTTACTCTTAGGAGGATTTTTATAACATCTTTCTTATTGTACATTCGTTGCCAATCTACCATATGCCATATTGTAACTATGATAATTTAGACCAGCCATAGATTTGTGGCCTCAGTTTTCTTATCATCCCAGTTTGGTTGGTTTTCCATCAAGGTCCTGTATGGATAAAGTTGTCTGTGTGGATTAATCTGTCTATATAGATTGGGAAGGTTTCTTCATAGCCGAAAGGAGTGTGTTTTTTAATTGGGAAGGGCAGGTTTGGAAAAAAACTTGGTTTTCTGCATAAAGCTTCCTCCTAGAAGCTTACTGAATAATCATTTTCTATATCCTTAAGCCACTACCAAACAGTCATGTATAGCTGACCGAATAAGCTGCGAGTCCCATTAAGCTCGTTAAACTGCTAATATTGTTGTTTTATGATTGCACTGTAATCACTTTATCATTTTCTTGTAAGTGTCCATTGACCATGTTTGAAGTCAAGTGCGGGTTGTTTCTTGCATTAAAAAAGATCTAATTTGTTACTTGTATATATTTCCACAATAGGCCTTCTGCATACTTGGAAGAACTGGTTGATATATTAATTAATTATTATTTATTACTCATTAGCCATGCTTAAATATGAAACAATAGTAATAGGTCGTTTTTTCGCCAGGTATGCACAGAGATTTGATCCAGGCTTTGGGTTTAACGGGGGCTCATATCCCGTACAACCTATGTACACACCTGTCTTGAACTACAACACCGAATTTCCGCAACTTGGTTCAGCGGCTCACCGGCCTCCTTCATCTATATCTGTCGATCACCAATCTCACACACTCTCTCAACATTTACCTAGACCATGGGTTGCACCATCTTCACCCGCTACAGGAATGGGTTACAGACTCCCGGAGTCAATGGTGACTCCTTTTAGTCCTAACCATGCTGCCACTGCTCATTCTGGCTCCTCCACGCTATACATGCAGTACCCTTCTCAGCGGTCGGGGATGGCATACGTTCATCCTCATGAACAGATTCACCAACAATTTGCACAGGTAACGGATTTTTATTTGCTTATATTCCACTTTCTGGTATCATAGGGGTGTAAAAGAGTCGATCTTTTAACGGATTACTTGAGCTCGAGCTTAATAATTCTCGAGATTGAGTGAATGTCGAACACAAAATAGGACTCATTTAATTTAACGAGTCGAGCTTCATAAAACCAATGTTCGACTTGGCTCGTTCGAAAGCTTAATTAAAATTTTTGAGGCGAGCCGAGCCAAACATGCTCATATGTTTGTATAAAATTACAAAAATCATTAACCTCGAGCCAATAAATGAGTTAATTGATCGCGAGTACGAGCCCATAAATGAGCATCGAGCCCAAACTTGATGATTAAAAAAAAAAATCGAGCTTGAGCTCGAGCCCTACATTGAAAAAGTTATTCGAGCTCGAGCCTGGTGTAATAATTTTTTCTAGCCGAGCTCGATTAACCTACTAGATTGGCTCGTTTACACCTTACTCATTCCTCATTGTTGTTTGTAGTAATAAAATTTCAAGTGGTGGCATCATTTGATTATAAAAAACGAAGCTATTATAAAAGTATATTGGTTAGCTAATTGCATTTTGTATGTGTGTCTTTTATCCCAAATCTTTTCAATTACATATCTAAAAACAAAGAAAATGATTGAAACGTGATTTGAGCCCGAGGGGGAGAAAAAACGGTGTAAACCAACTCTATCAAGATAAACTTTGTGTTATTATTGTAGTTTCAAAGAATATACGGTTGCACCCAAACATAATATTACAATGCCACCTTAATGCACCATAGTGGGGCTGCCCCCACCATATATTGTGCATCTTTTGCATGTATGATGATCGATATTCACATGTGATTGCAGTCTCCACAACAGCAGCAGCAATCGGAAGGAAGTTTTGGACTGGGGCGGACTTCTCGATGAGGTGACGGGTTAAGGTAGTGAATCTCGATCATGTACACGTTTTAAAAGATCCGTTGTTCTACGATGAGACGTGTGTGTGTGTGTGTGTGTGTTTTTCTGGTATAGCAAGTAAGGGCCAAGGTAACAAAATCTCTTCTCATTTGATTATTATGAGATATATACAAAGTTTATATGATGATAATCCATTGCCAGCCAAACTCTTGTTCTCAATGTCTGCTTCAATTTTGTTGGGTTGCAACATACAGCAGCATATTTGGGTTACCATATATGGGGCTGGGGAAGGGGCAGGGGCAAACGAAAACGAGAAAGTTAAAACGTTTTGCGAGAAAGCGAAAAGTTTCAATATCATATAAGATTACATGTATGATACACAAGATTAATCATATATGATTAAGCACATGTTGTGTTGACAACACATAGATGCTTAATCATAACACACACTCAAAGAAGTGTAATCATATATGATTTTTAAACTTCTCGTCTAATCGCAAAATGTTTAATTTCTTGCATCATCTTTCTTTTGTGATATATACATGGGCGAAGGATCGTGTGAGAAGAAGAGTTAAAAGTGAGAAGCGTAAGAAGGGATCTGGATCCCTGATCACCTTTAAATCTCAAACTCACTCATGAAAGCGCGTTTGATACGAGGATTGATCAGGTGCATCTCACTCTAATGTACATCTAAGGGTGGAGATCCCTTCTTACGTTTGTCATAATTTTTCATTTTGTTCATTTTTTGTAATTATAAGAGGTTGATTAATCATTTTTATTGTGGAGGATGTTAATCATTTTTATTGTGGAAGATGTTAATCATGATTATTATCATCTTCATTATTTTAATTTTAGAGAAATATATGAAACAGTTTCATTAAGTAGTATATAAAACAGTTTTATAACCATATATGAAACAACTTCATCAAAAAAAGTATTATATGAAACAATTTCACAATATTAAACAATTTCATGAAAAAAATTCATAAGATTAAACAATGAAATCGACGTATGAGGGTGGTTTGTACGGTTTTTACAAATGAGGGTGGTTTTCGGTTTTTACAAATGAGGGTGGTTTTCATTTGAACGCTCATCTTTATATATATATATATATATACTTGGGTTCACGTGAGACCAAAGGTTTTTCGTGAGACCCGTAAGACCAATTTATGTTTATTGATCAACTTTATAAGTTAATGATCTAACGATCCAAAGTTGTACGGTGACAATTTTGTAATTATTGAGAAGTCTCGTGGCAATTTTGTGATTATGAATATTGAGATTGTAGATCTAGTCCAAGAGTTGAGAATTAGTTTTACGGGTCTCACGAAAAAGCCTTGATCTCATATGATCTCAAGTCTATATATATATATATATATATATATATATATATATATATATATATATATCAAGAATCACATATATAATAAATATGCAATTGCTGTGGGTGGTTTCCTTAGACATATGACATATGACATATCACATATGACATATGACATATGACATCAATTCTTTGGGGAATAGTAGAAATACGTGTACAATCGCTTTAAAATTTGTGTTTCTCTACTCTCCAATTATACAAAGGATGATCTGAATGTAACTATATTAAAAGACATTTTTTGAATTGTTAAGAGGTGAATTTGGTTTGAAAAAAAATTCTATTTTTTAATGGTTCTAAAACCATCTGAATGATTTTGTATCTTGGGCTCTTTTAACCATTCAACGCTCTAATTTTATTGTAAACAATTACCAAACAATCATATTTCATTTTGTACTATATTATGAGAGCCTCTTAATCATTCTGACTACTTAATTATTCTATACCAAACTATTCAGCAACAGTCAAATAGTCTCTTACTAATTTTCTTCTAACATGTTATTATCAAGATTTAGAAGACATTTGTTTTAAAAAGAACTCTTATCTACTTCTTATGTTTGAATCAGTAAGAGGTAATTATACCTTATTTTTGATAATTATACAAAGGATTCAGACATTTATCAGTTTACTAAAACAAACAGTCTTAATGATTCTGCTTTCAGACTTTAGCTTCATCTTTTATCAATAAAAAATAAGATGAAATTTTATTATAAGCACTTCTCTTTTGCACTTTTTATCGTTACCTCATTTCTAACTCATCAAATTAAGAATTTATATGAAAGTGGACGAAATAGTTCTTATAAGAACCTCCTTTTTATGGGTCTCATGCATTTTTTCCAACATCAGTGATTACTATAAAGTCAATAAAATATATAAAAAACCTAGGAAGCTGCCATTTCACATAAAATTCATGGTAAAAACCAAAGTTCCTGTGCAAAACTTAAAGTGGTGAGGTTCTTATAAGAACTTTCCACAATGATAATTTTTACAAGTCACTTCACTTTTTGTTTATAAGAACCTTGCATTTGAGATGCTAGCTTGTTTTAGTTCTCTAACAAATTCTCTAAAAAATAAGGATATTTATTTTTATATTGTTTTTAGAAGTAGAAAAAATTAAGGGCGCGTTTGGTTTGCGGGATTGGAATGGAATTGGGGGGATTTGGATTTGAAATCCATTCCAATCCTGTGTTTGGTTTGCCAAATTGGAGGGATTTGGAATCCTGAGATTTCATTAAAATCCATTAGACGCCGGTTTTGGAAATCCATTGCAAACTAGTGGGATTTGAAATCCAAATCTGGGCTTCTCCCCCATCGATTCCTGTCGAATCCTTCACCCACCTTCCTCCCGCTTCCTTCACCCATCGCTTCCCTCCCATCGCTTGCTCCCGCCCTAATCAATCCTCCTCGCCGATGCTCCCTTCCTGTCCCGTCCCTTGTGAAGCGGTGCCCTAATCGGTTTGCCTCCTCGCCGGTGCTGTCTTCCTTTCCCCTCGCGAAGCTGCTCCCTAAACCGCCCTTCCTGTTTGCCGGCGTCTCCCATCACTCAGTAGGTAAATCATATTACCCCTTTTGTATAGCATTAGACATGCTCGATTCAATTATTTAGAGGACCCAAATTATCTCAAAGTTGTGTTTGCACTTTCCCCTTCTTGAAGACAAAACAGTAACCAATTGTTAGGGCACAAATCCATCTTTGTAGCCAAAGTTATTTACAAACAATTTCTGGATAAGCACCTTAGAATGAAGCACAACACAAAGGTGTAGTAAAGATAGAAAATTACTTGAAAATGCACAAGGGTTCTGCCCTAATTTGCTGTCATGCATTATAGTATAAACAGGGGCGTGTAAAGGTATCCAGAAAATTGTTGAGTTTGTTTTTGGGAGAGTCTAGCCTCTCAACTAGTTTCCTACTGTTCTGCCCTATTCCTTTTATTTTAGTTGTTTAGTAAATCTGGTTCATAACATTTTCCCACTCCCCCTTTTCCCTCTAGCCTCTATCCATTTGTTATCTTGTGTGTTTTACCATAGCAGTTAACCAAATTCTGATAGTGTTTAATTGGTTCCATGTCTTTGATACTAGAGTTTAACCAGAATCATTTATAAATACCTCAACCCTCAAGTAGTGTTTAACTGGTTCCATGTCTTTGATACTAGAGTTTTTGTTCAAAATGCCTTTTTACATCAGTGATGRCYGTTTGATCCAAATGCTTACTGCTTAATTGTTTTCACATTGTGCCTCATCAATTTTTAGGTTTGATTGTTAAATATGCATTATGGATGAAAAGGTTTGATTGTTAAATTTTTAGGTTTGTTGGTTAAATAGATAGATTTAAGAAAATGAAAGAGATTTGGTGATTAATATTATTACAAAAAAAAATAAAATCTAAATCCAAATCCTACAAACCAAACAGAGGAATGAATTTCAAATCAAATCCAAATCCTGCAAACCAAACACATGAATGAATTTTAAATCCAATCCAATCCAAATCCTATGGAATCCAAATCCCTCCAGGAATCCAAATCCCTCAGAAACATTCCTGCAAATCAAACGCACCCTAAGTTTAAAGAATTATCTAAAATTTAATGTAAAAACAAAGAAGTGATTTTTATTTATTAAAAAGGTGTATTAAAATGATAAAACTACATAATATTTAATCATTTATAATAAATTCATAAGTCTTTCAAATAGAGTTAGAGTTGCAAGTAAAATTTATTTAAAAAAGTTCAACTTTAAATTCTTTATTTAAACAAATTTATAAAAAAATCAAACAACCAACATGTATACCAACCGTACCAATTTAGTTGGTATCAATTACAGTCGGTTGATAGTATTTTACCAACTATGTAAACTCGGTTCGTACATAATATTGGAAGTCCCGTGCCAAAATAGTACTATTATACCGACTTATAATTAGTTATTAGTTTTTTATTTTTGTATTTTTTATTTATTAAATATTAAACACTTTAATTTTAACTATTTTATTTGAACGTTGAATATTTGTAAGTTTTATTCTTTACATTAAAAACCATTAAACATCGCATATGTTACTTGAAAACTCAATATATCATTCAAAATTTGAATAAAATTATAATTCTTTTTTTTATTAACATGGATATCTAACTCGCTATGCGAGCCGACTAATCCCAGGACGACCACTTGCTTTGTGGGTGGCATAGAGTCGCCACATTTGAACCTCTAAGACCACAGAGGATTTTTATTTCTCCTTGAATTTGAACATGAGACCTTCAGACACTTTTGAAATTTGGAGCTCAAACTCAAATCAATCAGACACCACCATTTTATGTATGTAACTTGAAATTGGTACAAAACCAGCACTAACCGAAAAAAATTCGTAGCAATCAAATTGATACAAAATATAGTTGGCTAATATGTAGTATAATATTTTACGTACCAATTATAATTGATTGATACACAAATAGACTTGAGATCACGTGAGACCATCTTGTTTTCTAAAACAATTTTTTTACACTTGAAACTTCATAGTAAAATATTGTGAAGATAATTTCATAGTATTTTTCAGTGAAAGTTTAGATTTTTTTACCATCGTATTAATATTTTGCTATGAAGTTTTAAGTGTAAAAACATTGTCCCATGCACAAATATTTGTGAAAAAAACCTTGATACACATATACTTTGAATTATGAATTTTGTTTTGGTGAATATAATCCGATTTAAGATCTTTTGTAACCCTAATTTTCAATCAATCTTCGTCTAAATCTTCTTATTTGGGTGAAGATTCTGATGTTCAAATCCATTTCACGATTTTCTTCACCATGTCGAAGGAATTCAACGTTCCGCCTGTTGTTTTCCCGTCCGGTGGAAACCCCAACACCGGTCCTCAACAACGTCGTCTACCAACAGCACCGTTTCAGCCGGCCAGATCTGCAAATTCCAGTATCCCTTTTATGTCATTCGATATCGGATCATCTCCGGCATCCACATCCTTCGTCACTCCTCAATTCGGCACCGTCATCGGCGGCGCCAGTGCAAACTTCGACGACGAGCCGCCTCTCCTCGAAGAGCTAGGTATAAACACCAAACAAATCTGGAACAAAACCGCATCGATTTTGAATCCGTTTAGAGTTAAAGCCGATCTTCACGAAGACGCAGATCTATCAGGTCCAATTCTCTTCATCATGGCGTTTGGTTTGTTCCAATTACTCGCCGGAAAGTTGCATTTCGGGATTATTTTCGGGTGGACCACCGTAGCGTCTCTGTTTTTGTACGTCGTGTTTAATATGCTCGCCGGACGAAACGGCAATCTTGATTTATACCGGTGCTTGAGTTTGATCGGTTACTGTATGCTTCCGATCGTGATGTTATCCGCACTTTCCTTGTTTGTTCCTCAAGGTGGAGTTCTGATCTTCGCGATGACGGGGGTTTTCGTGATTTGGGCGACGAGAGTCTGCACCAGTTTGCTGGTGGAGCTGGCTTCTTGCGGTGATGAACACCGTGGTCTAATTGCGTACGCTTGCTTCTTGATCTATATGCTTTTTTCATTGCTAGTAGTATTTTGATATCATCTGATTCATCATAGCTTTTAGTCGTTATTAACTCCAGGTTTCATGATTAACGAAAATGGAAGTATTTGTGTGTTCATCATGCTCTTGCTGCTTCCATTTCTGTGTTTACACAATCGATCGATTTGGAGAAGATGTATAGATCAAAATATTGTTTGAGAAATGCGAGTTTATCGAAGAACAGTAGGTGAATCCATCTCTGATTTTCAGTCACGGTTCCGGCAAAATCGTTCCATATGAAACTTAGGGGACGTTTACTAAATGCTTACACGGTAAGGGCTCACCGTCACCGAGTCACTTTACCTTATCGGATGGAACATGATAAGAATCGAGAATTTTATCCGGTAAGAGCGATAACAAGGACCGAGAGTCTTACTTGGTAAGTAAGAGTGACGACTCTTACCCGGTAAGCGCTTACCGGATAAAAATGTTGCCTATGATGTCATTTTAATAGATTAAAATCATACTCAGTAAGTTAAAGTTAAAGTATTGAATCTTACCGATAAGCGTTTATCGGGTAAGAGTTGGGTAGACGGCACCCGATATTTTTTTCACTTTGTTTACTCGGTAAGATCTTAATCTATTAAAACGACATCGGATGCTACATTTTTATCCGGTAAACGCTTACCGTGTAAGAGTCGTCACTCCCACCGGGTAAGACTCTAGGTCATTTTTTTTAATTAACCTGGATATCCAACCTGCTATGCGAGCCGACTAATCTCAGGACGATCACCTGCTCTGCGGGCCCGGAGTCCACCGCATTTGAACCTTCGTGGCCACAAGATGATTTTTATTTCTCATTGGATTCAAATCTGGGAACCTACAGACACTTTTGACCTTTGGAGCCAAAGCTCAAACCAATCGGGCACCACCCTTGTGGTTGACTCTAGGTCCTTGTCGTTGTTCTTAACAGGTTAAATTCTCAATCTTTGTCATGTTAATCGGATAAGGTACTTACCGGTCAAGTGTGTAGTAATCGACACTTACCAAACACTTATTAGTGAAATCGAAAAATTAGGGTTTAGCTTCTAGTATTCTTTAGACACCATCCGATTCTTTGTAGTCGTCATTTATTTTTTGTTATGGTTAGGTTTGTGTATGTCTCATCTATAGACACTTCTTTCGAGTGCAATATACTGTATCGGTTCGGTTTTACTAACATACAAACCAAACAAAATGGACGCAATAAATCCTATTTGAAAGTAGGGTTTGGTTGAAGTGACATGTACTTAGAGCTGACCTTTACCTAAAAGAACGTGAACAAACAAGTAGCAGATATAGAAAAGATATACAACTGTATTTATGTCCCACTCAGTCCATCTTGTCCTTGTCCAAAAAAACACGAGACAACATGTTTTCGTTCTGTCGCAAAGAATAGAATTTGTAAATGGAGAATGTTGTATTTGTTATCATGTAATGGGTACATGACCGTAATGGAACACTAAAGATGCACAAACATACAAGAGGTGTTATTAGGGGAAGTTGGATCACAAAACACTCTTTTTCAATTGGGCAAGCCGGTGAGTGGGTCGAGGAGAGCATGAATTTCATCGGAAAGCACCACCGGACCGCCCCCGGGTCTTGTGCAAATGAAGTAACTGACGTCGCCCTTTGATTTCTCGCCTACAATGTTATCTTTGGTTTCTGGGGGCGGTGCCAAAGCTTCCACGTCCTTTATATCCTTAACTCCAGCATCTTCTAGTATCGACTTGTCACCGATTACGTAGCTATTTGGAAAAATAGGAGAAATATATAACATAAAAGCATCGTTGTTAATGAGTAGTTTGCAGGAAGTGTTGTTGTTGAGTTATGTACCTGTCCAAATCTGTACCGGGTTGTGGAGGGAAGTTATAAAGTAGCCGTTGGAGGAGAAGGGCGGCGGTTTTCCGGTTACGTGTGATCATAACAGCGTTTGGCCCTGCATCGAAGGTATACGCCACCTGCACGTGATTTCAAAGTTCTCAAAAAAACCGAATTACTCGACTATCACTATTGAAATAGGATGTACTCCCTATTTTCCAAAACACGAAAACGTTTTACTAGACACATAGTTCAACTAAATTTTTCTAAAATCCGTCTCGGTATAAGCCTTCATGAAAAAAATTAGTGATTATTTCATATGTGATTTTATTTTTCTTGTGGTCATAAGTTGCATCTATCTCCATAGGGTTGGATTATGACAAAACATTGTGAAGGTACGAAAAATACCGAACCTTCAAAGCAAAAATATTTTACTGTGAAGATTCAGTGTTATTTATGTGGTCTTACCGTGATTCCTAAGTCTTTGCATAAACATAATACAAACCTGAGGCGTTCCTTCTGCACGATTCCATTTCTCCACACAGCTGATTATTCTGTAAAAACGTTTTGATGTATATATAAATATTTATTTACGGCAAATAATCACACACACTTTTCACTTTTTGTGAAGTTTGAACCAGTTTGGACCTTTGACCTCTGGGGATTTACCATTAAGATAGGTACTGTTGGGTAAGCATTAGTGGTAATCTGCAACATCAAATATGGTATGGATAAGAAGTAGAAACTTACCTGTGGGATGTGTCATTCATGTAGAATATAGGAGGGTATGTATCCAGGCAAACTGCATGAAACTGATTACTGTCTGTACAGGCTAGCTTTGCAAAAGATGGGAAATCGCGGTTTTGTATCGCGTTTTCCATTTGGATTATGCGCTCTGGTACAACTTCCTGTGCCATTTTAAAGACACAAATGAAACTTAGGGAATGTTTGTTAGTAGTTTAGTGAGCTTAATGAGACTTGCAGCTTATTTTGCTAGCTATACATGACTCTTTGGTAGTGGTTTAATGATGTAGAAAGTCTCTTATTTGGTAAGTTTCTAGGGGGAGTTTTATGCAAAAAGTCAAGTTTTTTCCGCACTTGCTCCTCCAAATTAAAAAAAATGCTCCTTCCATCTATGAAAAAACTCTCTCAAACAAAAACCTTAACAATCTATACGGACATATTAGTCCACACAAACAACTTTATCTATATAGGACTTATTGGAAAACTAACCAAACAGCTCCTTTTAGGACTGTTTACTTGGGGCTGATTGTCATTAGCCTCTTACCTGCCAAGAGATGGTATTGTTTACCTACACTCCTAACTGACAGAGGTGCTAACTGAGTCAGCCATCGATAATATTACTGACCAAATCACACAATGCTTACCCAAATTGTATTTCTCAGTGAGTACTTGTTACAAAATATTTGGTAAGCAGCCATTTTCAGTCAGGGTTGTACAAAACCAAACCTCTTACCCGGTTAGCATTTACCCAATTTGAATTGGTAAACGGCCTCTTAGATTGGTTCTACATTTGGAGAAAAATCAAATGAAGAAGACAAGAAACAAACAGATGGATTGTAAAGATGCACCTTTGCTCTATGTTGTATAAGTGCACTTGTTTCAACGGTATCGCGCATTCCTGAAGTGCTACTTGTTTCTTTCTGTCGTGCACTTACCTATTAACGACATAAACACCATTAAAAACAAATTAGAGATTCATCAAGAGGCAGATGTATGTTAATCTACTCAATGTTGTTTGTATTTTAGTACAACTTGTACAAAAACTAATACTTCTCCATCATAGAATTAGAAACCAATGTAAACTATAGACCCGTGAAAACATGATCAAGAGACTCGGTGTTATTACACATTTGAGTGCTACCAATCAATTAGGTTAAAGATTCAGGAATCAAGATTATGTTCAATTTTTTCAAGAAACCAATCAGTTATGTTAAAGATTCCGAAAGAAGATTGTGTTCGAAACTGATGTTCAGCTCAGAAGCAAGAGGCTGCAAGTGCATAATGGGTGTCATTGTGGGGTTGACACAATACATTGGACAAGACAAAACAAAATAAGAATCATTATGTATTTTGTTATAAAAAATATTTATTTTATTATAACTTAAAAAATTAAATAACTTGATCAAAATATATAAATAACTCATTAAAGATAAATCGGTCGTTTTATATGTTAATATTTTGTCCAATTCTATGTTACCTCTGGATACCAAAAGCACCTTTAGGGTCTATTATTAGCAAGAGTTTAATGCACCTTTAGGGTCTATTATTAGCAAGAGTTTAATGCACCTTTAGGGTCTATTATTAGCAAGAGTTTGATGAGACTCACGATTTATTCGGTAAGCTATATGTGATTGTTTGGTAGTAGCTTAATGGTATATAGAAAGTGACTTATTTAGTAAGCCACTTGTCTTTGAACAATGATTAAAAAAGGATATTGGAAATTCGAGTGGCTGAAGTTGAAGCAACTACTTTTAAGGGGGAAACTTTATACAGAAAGTCAAGTTTAATCTAAACCTGCCCTTCCGTCTTTGAAAAAACTCTACCAAACAAAAATCTTCCAATTTATACTAACATATTAATCCACACTAACAACTTTAACAACTTTATATATACATGACTTAATGAAAAAAACTGTTTGGTAGATTGAATCCCTCAACCTTCATGGGAAGGGAAAAACATATTGTCTTCTTGAGTTACGAGTGGGTAACTCAGTGGTCGATCTGAGGTATGCTTCCCACACTTAGGGTCGTCTTTGGGAGAAGGCGTGTCGGGCATATGCCCATGGCCCATAAGAAATATAGGCCTCATTTTTTTTCTATATATTATGTAATATACAGTAGTAGTTCAAAAAAATTAATAAATAAAAAGAGAGTTTTTAGCATCTAATATGATCCAAAAACAATTTAACATTATATTAAGAGCCCAAACATGTATTAATTAATTATATTGTGTAAGAAAATATGTAAAAATAATAATTGATTGTTCGTTTTATAGTATTGTTTCTCTAAAACTAAAACTACTTTGTCTAGAAAACATTGATACATTCTCCATCATTCATCTCGCGAACCGCATGAATTCTATTTTTATATTACATTATAGTAGATTTATTGTTATTAACTAAGAAAACTCTTAGCTTTTGGGAAAAAAATGTTAACCATATGAAACTATTCAACTTATAGTTATATCTCGGATTTCAAAACTACTACCGTCTTTTCATACATTATTTACTCCTTACCTAGTACTGAGTGCATGAATCTTAAGTACTCTCATATTTCTAAAACAACAATAAGATCTCCAACTATAATCAAAATGGACTTTTGATTCTAGATTGATGTTTCCAAAAGAATTTGTTTTAACCTTAACGTTTAAAATGGTGATGAAAACATTAACATGATCTGACATGGAAACTCAACTGATTTATATAAAGTGTTATTATAACATTGAGACCCCAAATGATGTCAATCTATATACCAAAAGTACATCATAGAATGTGTTTAGTAGTGGAACGGATTTACGATGCTATGTAAAAATGATATGATAGATGATATTCCATATAGAAGTAATTATTGATTGATTTTGCGTTCAGGAAGCGGTTATGAATTATTAGTATTTTTTTATTTCAATGCTATTTAAAAATTCAGTATAATTGGTGTTTAGAAAGCATGCATCAGGTTATAACAAGTATGTCCTACATTGGTAGCTTTAAGATAAGAGGGTTCAAGCTTTTTATAACAGGCTGTTGTGTGTGTGGCAAATCGAGGGAAAAGAAAAATACCACAGCAATGATGATTACGAGATCATCCCAGTGTTTCTCATCTGCAAGTTGAACGGCAAGGCTGTCGCTTCCATTTTCCTCCTAGAAACAAAACACAAAAAAGTTACAACATTTGGCCTCGATATGACACTTAATTACGCTAATAGGAAATAACTCATAGAACCTACTTTCCCCATGATCCACTTGACGAACCCACCATATAAACTGCGGCAAGCGCTGCCTGAACCTTGCCTGCACATAATTCATATGTTAAACGAATTGTTGCCATCAACATTCACTTGGTTTAACTTCCTGATGTGTGTGGGAATCAATATAAGCTCAAGCAGAGACAACAATATATAGCAGAAAGGAGAGGAAGGTAAATCGGTAACACCACGAAGACATTTTCCCCAATATCTCATCTCTAGTCACCTAAAAAGATCTTACAAAAACCACAAGGCTGGTGCCTGATTGGTTTGAACTTGGCTCCAAAGGTCAAAAGTACCAGGAGGTCCCAAGTTCAAATCCAACGAGGAATAAAAATCCCCTTGTGGCCACGGAGGTTCAAATGCGGTGACTCCGGGCTATCTGCAAAGCAGGTGGTCGCCCTGGGATTAGTCGGCTTGCATAGCGGGTTGGACATTCAGGTTAATAAAAAAAAAAGATCTTACAAAACCACAAAGGTTGTGGCGTAGTGGTTGAGGCCCAGGGAGGATATGGTGGAATATCCCATCTGTCCTGGGTTCAATTCCAAGCATCCACAACAATTGTAGCCACTGAGTTTATCAGGTCTGATGTCTTAATCTTACAATTTGTACATGGGTACAGTGGACTTTGACCCACAAGGGAATGGAAGGGGCTATACAAAGTACCACATGAGTGTCAATGTACCACATGGGAGCCATGTTTAGGAATTTTCTTGCAATCGAAACTCAATACTGCTTTGTCGCATTGAAAAGACGATGATTCTAGTTGACTAGGTATGTAAATTATCGTGAAGTTGAAGCTTATATCACAATGTCGCATATTAACATAGCGTACCAATATCTATGAACCAAGCAAATGCTTGGATCTCTACACTTGGTGTTCTAAGGCACTGTAAGGACTGACATACTATTACTAATTGGCAATTCAATTAGTCAGTAGTTCTGTTAATGGTTATTGTGTGTAAATGATTGTATGTATCTTAACAAATGCATAGTTGTAAAATGCACTATTTAACTATCCACTCTTTAGTCCGTGAGCTTGGCGGACCGATATGTTTGTGGATTGTTGTTTTCATATGTCCACAAATCATATTTAATGTGCGTTTGATACACTAGACATGACAGAAAAAAAGGGATCGATGTACCAGGTTTGGCAGGACTTTTATGCGGAACAGACTGAAACAGAGTGAGATAAAGTGGAACAGCCGTGTTCCACCCCCACCCCATGGAGCAAGGCGGAACAGACCTAAATTTTACCAATAAAACTCAACTCTCCTCTAAAACATCAAATATGCCTCCATCTTTACATTTTGTGCATTTTTTATATTTTATTTATCGTATTTTATGCTCTTTAAATTTTTACTTTATTGTCCTCAAAATATTATTCTTATACGATTTCTAAATTCTGATAAATTTATGTAATTTATTAAATATTATAATAAAAAAATAATATAGAAAAGGTATAAAATAAAATTTGGAAACTACATTAACCTTTTATTTTGGTGTTCATTTTAATTGTCCTAATGAAATTTTTTAAATGATATATTTTGTTATAAAAATATTTATTTTATTATAATTTAATAAATTACATGAACTAATTAGAATATAAAAATATATATATAAACAACCCACTAGGAGTAAATTGGTTATTTTATCTGTTTTGTCCTATCTAGTTTTGTCTTACCGAATACTGAACAACTGTTTTGTCCTGTTTTGTTATGTCCTATTATATCCTACCCTATCTTGTCTGCATTACCAAAC